TTTTCTGATCTTGTCAGACACTAAAATGACTAAGTCTTGCAGAAATCCATATTTGCAGAATCTCATGATTAATGAATATGCTTCCACCACAATAGGTTTAAAATACATACACCTCAAAATGCAGACCATTCCCATATACATGTGCAAACACACACGAGCATGTCTTTTCTTTTGGCTACTTTATGTTCTCTGTCTGGGTGATGCACGAGAGAGGTAAGATACCAAAAGCAGCTTATTTCTTTCTTCCTAAAATCAGTATTGGTAGATCTAGTCAACAATTACTCTTATTTCCATAATTCAATTATTTCACAGATTTGTTGCTGTTTGCTATTCAGTGGGTTGATAAGCTTCTTTTTGTTATATGTATAGAAATGGTTTGGAGTTAATCAGGATAATAAAATGGTTTTCAATTTATATCTTTCTAGCATCTTGGTTCACTATTAATGACCCTTCTGATGTAGCTTTCTGGGAAAGCTCTGGCAAAAAGCTGTTCCTCCAAAGCTGTTCATGGGATGTGGTAGCATCCACCACTAAAGGAGATTTGGATAACTAAATACATTCAGAGGCATCTTGTAGTAAATACTTGGAAATCCTTTTCAGGGAAAACTTGGAAGCTCTCCTATCAGTTGTCTCTAAACAGTCGTGTCTGGACTGCAGGCACAGCACATTTGTTGGCAGTGTCTCACCTGGATTTAGTTGAACTGACAGGAGTACACCAGCAGCTGTTACATATGCTGCCTCCATGAGTCCTAGTGGGTTAACGTAGCCCTGCCTTTGAGCACCCCAGGCATCTCTTCACCGATGGCTTGTGTCTTGTTAATAACAGCAGCACAGGGTAGGGTTGTGGCCAGGAAAGGGCAGTTCCTCAGTCTCTCAGGCAGAGCACATAGCACAGAGTGAGGACCCAACAGAACTGCTCCCCAGATGCTGAGTGGGTGCTCAGACAGACGGGATGCTCTAGATGAGCAATAACCAAGGGGAATTGATTTGAATGCTCTAGTTGAAACACGCCGGCTTCCTAAGCACAGAAAACTCCCGTGGCTTGGCCTGCTGAGTATCAGCCAACCAGTTCAAGCTATCACCAAATGTGCGTGTTCATCTGGGGAGTCTCAGTTGCATCTGTCAGGTTCAACCATCAAAAAAACTTTCAGTACCACAGCCAGATTCAGAATGGTGTAAGAAAATATGTTGCTCTGTGTGTGGACGAGTGCTAAATGCCTGGAATAAACAGGTTCTGACTTGCTGCTACCATAGAAGGATTAAACTGCATGACACAGCTATGAGGTCTCATGCTTAAATGAACCATCAAGAGAATGGAGCTTGTGACAGGAGTATGATAGGGATAAAAAGCTACTTTCTGTATTGCATTGGCACCTGGCACCCCTCGTGTAAACCATGTAGGCAAACACTGCACCGTGTGCCAAGACAGTCAGTCCATACCCCGACTGACAGAAATGAACCAATAAGGATAAACAAAATATTTCACTATAAAGAAAGTTTACCTAACAAAAGTTGATTTGTATTGTAGAGTGGCATTCTGTAACCCACACAGCAAAAGCGGATCATCACAGAGTTTTGCAGGAATTTTTTGATATGGCGTTGTCTTCATGAAAATGACTATTGTAATCGGAGAAAAGGACAAATAGGCAGCTAAAGGCAGGATAGCTGTCAAGGAATGGTGTCTACAAAAGCTGACAGAGTAAGGCTAAATTACAGAGGGCCTTGTAGAAGTGACTGCAGACTTGTACCCAGCAGTGACAGTGGAGTGGATGGAAGGATATGGCTTGTGACACCGAGGTAAGGGAGAGAGGGGGGACGATGCAAAGGGAGGGTGATGTCTGGTACCCGTAACGGTGGCAGAGTTGAGGTAGATTTGGCATCGAGGTCCCACATGACAACCTGGCTCACAAGTCTGGTGCTGCAGACAGAAAAATGTCCAGCTAATATAGCATCAAAAAGCATTAAGTGGAAGTGATGTCTGAAATCTTTAATGAAGGGCAAAAAGGGAATAAAAATTTCAAGAGTTTTGAACTGGTGGTTCGGTGTTTGTGAGCAACATTTTTTGTTTAACCAGAGTCTATTTTTGGAAAATTTGGAATTTGGATATTCCATTTTAGGAAAGCAGAACTGAGTTCTTGCTACAACAGTTACAGTTAGAAATCTGCTTTTGTCTGTCTATAAACATCAAGTCTAGCGTAGATGTCAGGAGTTGAGAGCAATACAGGATGTGCCCCAGAAACTCAAAGGCTGTTTGGATCAAGAGACATTTCGGCTCTCCAGAGTCAGAGTTAAATCCTGACGAGCAGGCCCTGTGGGATGTGGCTGGGCATCAAATATGGAAAATATTCCTACTAAAGGGTACAGAGGCCAGATCCACTACTGCCTTGCTTCTGAAGAGAACAAAGATGAAAAAAAATTAGTGCAACTTGTACTGTTTCACTTCCTCTTGCTAAGGAGCCCCTCTGCCGCCAGCAACTGAGATTCATCAGTCTGAGTCTCCGACGCCCCGTTCAGGCTCTACTGCTGCCTGTTGCTGTTGGGTTTTCTTTTTTTTTTTTTTTTTGAAAGCAAATCAACACCTGGCAGTGGGGAGCGCCTGGCCGAGGCACTGCCGCGCTGGTCAGCAACGGCGGCGGGGGGACGACACGGGTGGGGACCGGGCGTGTGTGCCAGGGGGTGTGTGTGTGTGTGTGTGTGCCGGGGGGCTGTGTGCCGGTGTGTGTGTGTGCCGGTGTGTGTGTGTGTG